AAAGCGTTTTGTAGGGGAACTGCTTTTTCGATGCTCATTTACCCTTCGTAAAATTGACCACAATATATTCGTTAAAAAAACCTTTACATTAACCTTCCTGAATTAATGTTATATGACGAAATGTTTGGAATTGAGAAACTATTTCGTTAAAATATATATAACAAAAGACCAAAACCTTGTAGAAAATCAAAATCATTGGAAAACAAAAATTAATAGTAAAAATCAGATCCAATTTTTATTAAATAAATTTTTTTTATGTTATCAACTAACAAATTATTTAAATTATTGTTTTCTATGTAAATTATGTTGCTTTACTATATAAGCTTTGACTTTTCTTTTTTGATGTATTGCTTAAATTTCAATTATCATTGTTTATGTTAACATTATTCTCGTGTTCTACAACCTTCATTTTCCAAGTAATGATTGATTCTGTTTTCAAAATTGTCATAATTTTCAATTGTAAACTTCCAGGTTTTCAAAATAAAGGTTGTCACTTCCAAATTCAGTACTATCATTCTCTACATCTAATGTATTATTACTATTTTTATTTTCCAAGTCATAATCCAAAATTATTGAAACTAAATCATTTGGGTTATAATTTAAAACCATTATTTTGAGTTTCGATTAATTCGATATCAGAAACTTCAGTTTCATCAGCAAACACTGTATCATCTAATATATATTTTATTATAGAACAAAAAATTTCAATTTCATCCAACAATTTTTATTTTCATCAAATCGTCAAAGTGACCCTTGGCGAGAAACCATCTTTAATCAGTATTTTCACCATGTCAATGATTAAAGTCAAAAGCTTCGTCATCCTGAATGTGTGGTTGAGCTTGTTTTATATAGGGTCACTTATTACATTGTCGGTGGAAGAGACAGTCTTGATGAAGCATGTAGATGGCGTGTTTTTTTTTAATTGACATTCTTCATTTTTTATTACTTGAATTTTAGAAGCCATTCCTTAAACTAAAGCTTAATTCTACTTCAAGAAATTTATTTTCATAAATTAATTAAATGCTGAATCATTTAACTGTGGCTTAATTATTTAATTGCTGATTCGCGAATGATCTTTTCAGTAATGGTAATTGAGATGGGCAATATTCTGGTAAGAAGTTAATAATAGTCTTATTTATGTTCTGGAAGATGCAAATATCTCTGAATTGAGATTTTCCATGTATTGATTTGTTTTTTAAATTTTGAAATCGACTCTTGCTTGGGGTCCTCTTAATATAATCCCGGAAGTGTGTTGATTATGACTATGTGTACCAGTATAAAAAATTTAGATTGCAATTTACCAAAGATGTATGATTACAAATTTCAGCAATTGGTGAGTAAAAAATTGATAAGACATGTAAACATTCAGATGACGCGTCAAATCTTGTGATGATATCAGCCATTAAAAAAACATTGGGTGGCTTATATATTTTATCCCTTAAATGGTTAATCGACTATTGATAGCCGATAAAAATTTTCTGATATAAAAATTTTTTTCTGAGGGCATTACTTTCTAATATGAAAATGATCTTTGAGATTTAGCCGATTAATCTATAAATAAAAATCCAGTTGTTCCTCTTTAAAAGTTGGTCGATTGACTGTTTTTACTTTGCTGATCGTTAAATTGACCAATAAGAATGATCAAAATTTTAATTTGTGTTACCATTAAAGAATACTCTGAGCGTTTAAGAGATAAGAAATCAATTAATAACAAGAATGATCTTCTTTTAAAAAAGGATACTTTTCTTTGTAAATACATTTTCAGCTGATGAAAACAAGCCTCTCAGATGATGGTACTGTGCTTGTAGGTATTTCCAAGTAAATTCTTGCTTGCACAGAAATGTAATCCAAACTATTAGATGAAATAGTAGTCATCATATTAGAAATACCTCTTTACAACAAATTATTAATACCTAGTTCACCATTATTATCATTATTACCACTATTGTTGTTATAATTCACTAATGATTCATTTTTAATACTATTAATAATAATATTATTGCTATCGTTATTATTATTTCTTAATAGCTCATTGTTACCACCACCATTAATATTATTCTATTAATAATATTAGTACTACTATCGTTATTATTATTTACCAACAATTCATTGTTAATATTATTACTATTGTTGTTATTGTCTCCTACCCTGTTACGTTTTTTTTTAGGCAAATTAATGGCATGAGTTTTCTTGTTTTTTTTTTTCGGCCAAGCCGCTTAAAATTTTCTTGGCGGCTTGGCCAGCTGACATCACTAGCTAATCTGTCACCCGCGGAATATATATTAACTTTAGGTGACTCACAAATCAAAACATTTACTAGTACTAGAGAATGATCAATATCAATATCTTGAAGGGAAGGAAAAGTGGCGCCACGGATATACTTATGTAACTTTTGATTTTGGGACGGAGCGGAGAAATAAAAAAACGTACTTATAATTATTTCCTGGGCTCTCTCATACACAATTATAAAAGTTCCTATTTATAGAAATTATCAACATAAAAAAAAAATGCTTAAATTATAACCCGCGATACGATACTAAGACATATCTTGGTAGATTAGATCCAAAAGAAACGAGTAGCGGGAAAAATACAGGATTAATTTAATGCTTTGTAATCGTTGTATTAGTATGTGAAATCGATCGAAATTTATAATTAAAATTTTGGGGTGGTGTTTGGATATGAAATTCTGATTGGCTAATTTGAATTTCACATATGATTTCATTTTCACGCACAACACAATCACAAATATTCCAATTCTATTTACTTATTTTATATAGGTACATTTGGTTATAAAGTTTTTCTATTTTTTTCAATTTCTTTAGAATATATAAAAAAAAACTCTCTGTATACTATAATTTCCCTTAGTTTCATGTCTGTATCTCTTTAATTGAAGGCTCTGATACGATTTTTATTTATATAGTTTTGGGGGCATTATGCTACATCACCTGATTTTGATTTAATTGGGGCATCTCATCTCACACACCCCAATAATATAAGTATTCTTGAACTTTTAAGGAAAAAAAGAATATGTTTAATATAATGTTGAAATTAAAATATATAAATAAATTATATGATCCCTGACATTTTTTGTGAGCTATATATATATATATACATAGGAATAGATATTTTCCCCCTACTTCCAAAGCATTATCAATTAATTTGTCAGTTCATTATTAAAATATGGGCGTAAATTCCTTTTGATTGGCTGATTCAATTTGCAATTTTGGTATTAATTTCATTTCCAAAAAGAAAATCATCCGTTTTTATTACACTCATCCTAACAAAGAGTGAGGAAGGTTCCATAACATATGCTAAAGAGTCCGATTCAAAATCACCAATACAAGCATTTTTATTGGTGATCAATTCAAAACATGTAAAAGTTCAAAATTTATCCGGTTTTTTTTTTCATCATTTTACGATTATTATTATAAATGGTTTATTGTATTATTATTCGTGGTGAGTTTAGAATGTTCTTCTAAAACTTTAATGGGTACTATTTGGAGAGAATCTATAGCAGATATAATCTATTTGTAATACGAAATAGATTAAATAATTATTGTTGCAGAAGAGATTATTTTTTTTTTAGAGAAAAAAAAAAACAAATAAATAAAAATGTCATATCATATTTAGTAAAAAGACCATGATCGAAGAACATTAAATATATAATAGTAACAAATTACGATGAATTATTTATAACCTAAAAATAATGAAATGTAGTGATCATGGAATTAAATGCATTTATATGTTAATTAGTTAATTTATAAAGATTAATGAATATCGTATCGTACATACAAATGCAATAATTTATTTTCTTTCTATATTTTTTTCAAGGGAAAGGCAAAAGAAAATTGAAAATTAAGATCGTGCCCTAACGGTAATAAATAAATATAAATAAAATTAAAAAATTGTTTCAAACCAGAAATTATCTGCAGAATTCTATTAATGTATGTATATTGTAACACATCATCCGTCATCCATTCCATCAACAACTCCGAAAATTGCACTGCGCAAATCTTGGACGCTGCCTAATTTTATTCATTTAGTCTTCAAATTAATATTTATCTTTTCATCTACATTAAGTAATATTATGTAGATTACTAGCCGATTTTGCATTTTTCTTTTTCACCTATTCATAAAATTTTCCATATTTCGTCGTTCCATAATCACACTCATAATCTTGTATTATTTTTGACTGAATGTTTTTATCATAATAATCATAATTATTTGACCGACGTTTCAATTATCAGTAATGAGAGGAATATACATTGTAACACGAATAAAAATATATAACAAAGCAACAAAACAAAAGGTAAAAAATCCTTAAAATTTTTTTTCTATTTTTAAAATTATTAATAACTTACATAAAATCCACCTGTATTAAGAAGAATTTAATAATCTATTAATTATTTTATAAATTATTGTATTACCTAAATCATTTTTTATTTATATTAAATACAATTACTATAGTTAAACATAAATAAATAAAAATTTATATAAATAGCTGAATTGTTTGGGAATATATTTTTTTTTTCAAAAAAAGAAAAAATAATTTTTTTTAGTTGAGTTTATTGTTTTGTTGTTTTATTTTAAAAAAAAAATTATATTTTCTCTTTTTTTCTTTTTTAAAAATTTTATTTTATTATAAAGTAAAAAAAATGTCTAGATCAAGATTAGTTATTCTTTTGTTATTATTCACGTTATTGATAATATTATTAACGATATCGCCTGAACTTCAAAAAAAGTCACCAATACCAATATCGGTAGATGAAGAGGAATTCGTAATTAGCATAAGTCCTCACAGAGATATAAACATCAACGATAATGATAATACAATAGATATTAATAATAGTAATAATGATGATGACTCATATGCATTTTTAACGGAAACGTTACTTGGTTACAAAAATTACACAGAATTTCAAAAAGGACATTTACCATTGATTATTTCAGTACCTCATGGTGGACATTTGTTCCCTTCTGGCATCCCAGATCGTAAAAAAATGTTCCCTGGAGTTGTCAAATCTAATGACATAAACACACAAGAGATTGGTAGAGCTTTGTCTGATCTAATTTCGAAAAGATTCAAAGGCCTTAAACCTTATTTGTTGGTAAATCATTTGGGAAGAAGTAAAATAGATGTCAACCGACCAATGAATGAAGGAACTGAAGTAGTCAAGGGTGTGAAAAACCAAGACTTTATTGATTATACAGAAAAGAACATCAATGCTGGCGCAGATGTTAATTATACTAATGGCATTAATGAAGGATTCAATCAAACATTCGAATCAGAAACACAAATTGTTTGGAATGATTATCATACATTTATGAAAAGTGCTGTTGAAGAGATCGAAGAAAGATTTAATTATGGGATAGTTATTGACTTGCACGGTAACTAGAATTTAATTCTGTTGAATAAAAGAGAGAATAATCATAAAACTTTATGGATCAATCAATTAATTTACATATGATATTCATTTTATTTTTAGGACATGGACATCCAGAAAATTATATTGAATTAGGTTACGTTTTATCATCTGAAATATTATCTTTGTCAACCAGTGAGCTCAACTCTGATCAATCTATCCCATCAAGATCAAGCATAAGAGCTTTGTATACTAGGATGCAATCAGCTTTAAATTTTGCTGATTTATTACTTGGCGAGACAACTTCTTTTGGTGGTATATTGCAATCTTATGGTTATGGTACAATACCATCTTATGCTCACCCGTATCCAAAGCAAAATGAAAGATATTTCCATGGTGGTTACATTGTACAAAAATACGGTTCAAGACATGGAGAACAAGTTGTCGATGCGATACAAATTGAGTATGTATTATTATTATTATTATCATCATCATCAATTGGAAATGATTAATTAAATGTTAAATATATATTAATAAATATTATTTATTTATTTTTAGATTGCCAAGAAAAATAAGACTTGGAAGTAAGGAAACAAGAGAAACATTTACTAAAACTTTATCAAATTCTGTCTCATGGCTTCTAAAAGAATATTATTTACGAAAACCAGGAAATCTTAATCAAGCTAGTTAGAAACTAATTCATTAAAAAACAAGTTATTATTATTTATTTGATATATAATGATAGTTATCATATTTATTTTTTTGAAAAAAAAAAAAAAAGTATTATTTAATAATTTTAATTACATTAATTAATGTTTATTTGTATATTTTTAATTTTTAATTTTTTTTTTTTTGAATTAGAAAAAGATTTATATTTAAATTTTTTGTAGATAAAAAAAATTTTTTTTTTTCAATAATAATATTTTTTATGGAGTGAATTTTTTTATTTAGTAAATGTTTTTTTTTTTTGATTTATTTATTTACATTACAATATTTATTTATTTGTTTTTAATTAATTAATTAGTTAAATAAATAAATATGTAATTTTGTTTTACTAATAATACTAAATGTTTTTTCGTGATCAAAAATTCGAATTTTCGTTCATTCATGCTTTCTTTTTCTTTTTTTGATTCATTTTCTTCTTTGTTTCTACTGTTGTACTAACAAAAGGTGTTGGATCAGTTGTAAAATATTTAGAAACATTTATTGTAATATTGATCAAGTACCACAATTTTTCAATTATTTTTCTAACTTCTTTGCTTGTTTGTTCAGCTTTATCCAATTGTTTCCTCTTAAATATTTTACTGTAATCATGATTATAATACTCGTCAACCAAAGCAGCAGCTTTTTGTTGCTTCTCCTTCATCTCCTTTATTTTACGAAAATATTCATCTATTATTTGATTAGCAAAATCATCAATTGCTTTGTTATTTCCTTCCGTGTACAAACAGCACATATAAACTTCTACTAATTCTCCCCAAAAATTCACTTCCGATTTATCCAACACTGTTTTTTTTCCTGCTTCCACTATTTTCTTTTTTTTTTCATTGACCATTTCTACTAAATTTGATTTCAACGCAATCGAAGCCAAGTATCTTCTCGAGATCAGGTCCGGATACGCGCTAGCAATTCTTTTAAAATCCAATGTTTGTTTTAATATTAATATTTTTGAAACTTTATAATTTATTATCCTATCACCCAAAAACGCGAAACGTTTCCATTGAATTTTGGTTTCATTGGTTAGAGTATGTTCTAAAGCTACCTTTTCTAATTCTTGATTTTTTAGTCTTGGCAAACTTATTGTTGATGATGTATTATTAGTTTTTGTTTTTGTCGTTGTTGTCCGTGTGAATAATGCTAAATATTTTTTGTTATTATTGTTAAAAATAAATTTTATCATTTTCGGATTTTTTTATTTTTTTTTTTCCAATCAAGTTTTGAATAACCCTAACTATTTTTATAAACATTATAAAATTGATGGCTATTGTTTCCTTAAAATGATCACAATTAAAATAAATTAAAAAAACAATTAAAATTTTTTTCCGTTTCTTTAATTTGAATAAAACAATTAAAAAAGAATTATAAATAATACCACAGACAGGGACACTACAATATTATTATTATTTATTATATTGGTCGAAAATAAAAATTATTTGAATCAGGAGATATTATTTGGTTGTGAGTGATGATGATGAGAGGAGAATATTATTAGGAATCCTGTCTACGCATTATTCATACTTCAAAAATCTTTTATCATCAGTTACATTATACTATAAAAAAGGAAATGGTTATTATGTTATAATATTAGTTTAAAAACAATTATAAAGTATACACTACCGGAAATTATAAAGCTAAATTTAATGGTCTCGCTCCAAAGACCGCCAATCTAATCAAAGTACTGACTGTTGGACCGCGGAGATGAAATTTTACTATATTAATAAATCAACAATAAGTTAAAAATTATAAGGTTTTAATATAAATGATACATTTCACAATGACTAAAACTATTTTTAGAATGAATCTCATTCAATTCAAAACATAAATTTTGATGAAACATTGATTATGACAATGGTTACGAAAGTACCGGACTTTATTGTTTATAATCAAACTCCGATATTATCAATGATTTACTGTATGGAATCGTTTGAAAAAATTTGAATATCAAAGAAGTATGGAAAATATTTACTAAATCTTCTTGTGTAACTTCTACAATGAAACATGCTCCAATTCATTCAAACCCCCCATTTGGTTCTATAGTAAATCCACCACGTTAAACCGAATTTTTGGAATTTTTTATTGAAAGCAAAAACTTCTTCGGATTAACGGGGTTGCCTATGTATTAGTAGACAAGCAACACTCACTTTTCTACCAATTTTGACCTTATAACGAAGCTGAATCCAGGTATATTACAATACGTATGATTGAGCGGATAGATTGCTGTAAATGTATATATATATATGTAATTCCATGTCGTCAAACTGTATATATTCTTTTTGAAATATGAATTGAAATATGATAATAAAATAATATTTTTAATAAATAAATGCTTTTATGACAAAAAAAAAAAAAAAACTAACGGTCTTTGATACCCAAGACCGGACCATTAATGCAGTCAAGGATCCCGGTTTATTAAAAATTATGAGTTAAAGTTCTTACTACTGAATTGAATGAAAAATGTTTAGGAAAGGTTTGTGATGATAGCAAAAAAAAATTATCAAGTGAATTTGACAAATCGGACAAACACATTTTTTATTAAAATTCTTTTCATTAATGAAATAATTATATGGAAAATTTTCAAGTGGAATCATAATTATAATGTTGAAAATTGGTCAACACAAATTTTGTTGTTTGGGAAATTACATTACAGGAATCGTTTCTATTAATAAGATTTCAGCAAAGATTTTTATTATGGGATTTGTAATAATGACATTACATTGTTAATAATTATCTAGTTTAAATACAAATTCAAGAAACCCTCTCATCATTAATTGTTTTGTTTGAAAACTAATTTAATAAACCTATTTATTTAATAAAAATATTACACTGCCTGTATTATGTTTATCAAGAGTGTAAACAGAGAGAATGTCGTGACAGGCAGGATAAACGATGACAATTTCGCCGAAACGATCCAAGAGATTTAAAGAAAATATGATCATGAGTTGGAACTTTTTTTTCTTAGAATAGTTCCGATCCAGTGTTAATTTTTTCAAAATACTGTATGTATCTAACGAGTGAGCCTTTCAATTATTCGCGTCATTCGTCACGAATAATTAGTGACCAAAAATTTTTTTTCAAATAGTTGAATAAAAATGTACATAATAATCTCATCTGAAATTTTGACATATGGTAATACGCATCTTATGTTGTTATGATCTTTAATAAATACTTGTTTGAAAATTTAAAAAACTTAAAAATGTTAGCTTTAACTGAATTTCAACGTGGCAAAATAATGAACCCATTTCCAAACAGTCAAAATTCTCGTGCTATTAAAAAATATATTGATTGTGAAGGTCTTGCCACAAAGCAGCAAAGTGGTCGTCCAAAATTAATTATCAACGAAAATCAGAAGCAAAATAATCAAAAGTCTGCTAAACAACGACAAACAATAGTAATGTTCCAACTAAGACTATTAGAAGTAATGTTGTTTGACGAAATGTTACCAAAATTGTAAAACTATTACGTCAAATTCACTGCCATTAAGTCAAAAATGACGCAAGTAAAATTGCTTTAAAGGCAAATAAAACTCTTAAATATATATTCCAAGATCTTTTTTTTTCTTGTATATCTCAATCTTCCTTTGTTTCATCAGTTGTTCCCAAGGAGCTAACCTTTTCTTTTGCTGAATTCAAATTCGGTTCCCACAAACTTATTTACTCTAAACTCGAACATTTCTTTATTAATATTAATAACGTGATACATGATCGGGTAGATAAAATCACCGATTAGGGAATTCATATTCAATACTTTATGTTCAAGGGTCAACTAATTTTAGTATATAATTATTATCAAATGGAAATTTTATGCAAAAGCCTTTTATAATATCAATATTGATCGATTAAGTTATTTTGCAATAATAAACCTTTAATTTTCTTTATTGTAATGATCAACTTCTCCTCGCAGAGGAAAATTAATGTTCTGATAAAATAAAACTCCGTGATAAAATCATTATTTTTATTACGATAATAAGCTTTAGAAATAAAATAAAAACAAAAACATTGTTTTATTTTCTTTGTTTAAAGCATTTTGATAAAAGCAACAAGTGTAATTAGTTCCTTGGTAAAAGGTAACAATTATGGAGCTTTGGTAAAAAGCCATATTTTATTCGCTTTGGTGAGTAGGCAAGGTTAGGATTAACTAGTGAGCGTTAACTACAATTAGTAACGTAATTTGCTTTAGTGAGTATGCAAAGGTTTTGACTAACGTTGGTTAACCGGCGGGTGTTAATGAAACGTCGTCCAAAGGTTAATCTGTTATTGTAATTGTAAACGTAGGGCTGTTAAACAAGCTACTTAAGTTGCTTTGCAAGTAAACCAAAGCGAGTTTGTAATCGGCCAATAAATGTAAACAAGACAAGGGTGAACGACTGAAATAAATCAAGGCCCTTGAGCTTTGTAAAAGGCCATCTTTATTTATCTGATACCATTAAGTGTGCCCACAGATTCGTCTAGGTGCAAAGAAAGAGGGGACCAAAGTAAATTCGTAAACTAATTAATTGACAAGCACCGAATTATTGCAAGTTGCCTGCATACTTGTTAAATAATCAGCATTAACTGAAATGATACCTTGAAATATCACCATTTAATAAGAATAAAAAAAAATTTTATTATTTCAAAATAATTTAGCTTTAAGAAATAAAATAAAGATAAAATAAAAAAAAACAAATAATTATAACGAATAATTTAGGAGATTAAATTAGTCATTCATCGATCTTTCTTTTAATTATTAGAATCTAATGTAATCAAATGTAAATAAAAAAAATATTGTTAGTAATAATTAGTGGATATTAAGTTCCAATTAATTGATTGATAATAAAAATTTTTCCCATCTTCGACATTTAAGAAAAAAGGGTTAAAATCAAGATTATTTAATGAACTATCATTACTTGTATAACTTTTAAGCTTTTTGATTTAGCTATCTCTTCATCCAATATTTTCATTTTTTATTTATTGCATTTTGTTCGAATTATTCATTTATTCGAACTATTCACTTTGTTTGAATTATTCGTTTATTCGTTTATTTGAATTATTTTGTTTATTCGTTTTATTCAAATTATCAAATTGTTCGTTATTATTTCATTCGAACAATGTAATTCAAATACTCAAATTCATAACAAGTAAAACAAATAATTCAAATAAACCTTGTTCAAATAGAACCCTAATAATCATATAGTTGTATATGGTGAATTTATTTGTTGACTCCAATAACTCAAATCACACGCTTGCAATATTTATAGATCGTAAATGATTACGGCATTACAGTTTTACGATCTCTTTATATTTAAGGTGTCATTTATGTAATGCTAATTCAGGTACACAAGTCAATAAATATTAACATTTTGTGTGATACATATTTGTGGCTTTAGAAAAAAAATTTTTTTGATAAATTATACACCCAAATAATTTTTAAAAGATGGAAAACACTTTAGATGAAAATAAACATCATGATGATACTTCTACTGACAAAAACAATGATGATGAATATTCAAAGAGGAGATATAAACTTTACGGTGAATGTCCAACCTGCAATAGATATAATACTTGGTATTCATGGTGTCAATCATGTGATCCAAAACTATTAACTGAAGGATGGACTAGTGGCAATGAAACATTAGATGAGTT